TCTGCTACTCACTTGAGCTCTAGATGGGAAGTAGGTGACCAAGATCATTGGGATGTGCATAGAAAAGCAGCTCTGCCTTTGGCTCAAGCAGGCAGTGAGGAGTAGGGACTTTCCGGAGGCAAGGCAGTTCTCCAGACAGCAGGAAATGTCTCTGGAACTGAAACAAAGACCTGCGGATAGCGATCACTAACTACTGCTGGTCAAAAGAGCTGGGGCCCAGGGGCAAGACCCCGTCGTTATTGCCAGGACAAAGACTCAAGCCAAACTTTATCTCAGTATATCTTGAGAAGCCTGGGTCTTAACGGCATTTGCCTCTTCAGTATTGTTTCAGAGAAATAAAACCTTTGCACTCAGCAGCTTACAAAATGCAATAATTCGATGTGATTTTATTTCAAGTTGATAAAAAAATCAACTTAATTTTTTCTGGCTGTTTAGTTCTTGCTTCATCTATGCTGGTTGCACTATGCACAGGTAGGGCTGAATTTCCTGGGAGGCAAAAATCACCTCTATCTGACAAAGGTTTACATTATTTTACAGATGGTCACCAGACCATGGAATGAAATTTGAGGTGCTAACAAAATTATTTGGGTGACAGTTGGTTATTAGAATGGAAAATACAGTGCTGATGCACCTTGGAAAGTAGTAATAGCCTATATAGAAAACAAGAAGGGAGAAAGAATGCTCTGTTCAGTAACTAGCCATATTATGAAAATATATTGTGTAATAAAATACGCCTGCAATGCAAATGCATGAGGGAAAGGCTGTTACCTAGTGATACATGGCATATTGTTTATGACAAGGCTGGAGATGGGAAATGGGGGAAGTCCTTGCTGCTTTGGAGGCCTGAGGAATTGTGTTCTTACCCCACAGCTGATTGGCCTCTGCTTTGCCCCAGTAAAGGGTTGGTCTGTGTGATGCATGTTCCTAGATTAGTTTTCCTTGTGAAGAGACTTGGGGTTTTGTAGCTACTTATCTTGATCAAACTGTGAAAGAAAGAGGCTTCTCTGACTTCTGTAAATACAACTTGTTAGTGTAGCCCATGATACCATGTTTCAGCTGGTTTCCTTTAAAACACTTGGTCCCTATAGGCTCTGTAGAGCGGTCATGTCTGTTCTGCAACTGTTGAGTCCAGGCCAATTCTTAAGAAAAGGTTGTGTACTGATACAAAGCACTGCAGACAGTTTTAACTAGATGGGGAGAACAAAAGAGCTTCAGTCCAAGCCCAGTAGCTTAATGAAATAATTCACTTTCATATTTTTTGTAACAACATCCTATGCCTTTGTCAGTAGGAGACTGGAGAGTTTAGCAATGCTTGAAAATTCCTATCTGTGGGAAGGAAAGCATGGAGCAGTCAGAAGTACCCAGGCTTGTGAAAGATAGAAATGTTGTCTTTTTTGCTTGCAAGTGAACGGTGGCTGTGCCTGTGCACAAGATTATGCCTAGCACTTACCTAGATAAGTTTCTGTTGCTGAATCTGAACACAGCCTTGCTCCTGGTGGCTTGAAACAGTAGATTGGGAAGGTTGTAGCTGTTCTGGAAAGAATCCTATTGTCCAGTTTTTTATGCCTATCTCATGTCCAGTGTTTGTTCTTACATATTCATTGTGCAGATTTCTTTATCTGACCAAATGGTTTTCACGTTAATTGGCATACAGATGGCTGCGCTCACCCAGATCTGATTAAATTGTATTTGTTTGTTTGGTAGATGTTCCTTTAGGTGCTCAGTGTAGTTTCCAACCTCTGTTGCTGGGGTTGTTTCTTATAGATACTAATCTGATTGACAGATTCTTTCTCCTTTCTAATTCTTCAGAACACAGTGAAAGCTTCTAAAGGAATGAGGCTTTTTCTTGATAAACTGATGATCAGAGCTCTGTGTTTTTATGGCAGCAGCCCAGATCCAGTCCCCATTTGGCTTGGTGTGTTTTCCACTGGTGCTTCTGGGAGTGCTGTTTGTTTTTTGTGGCCTGTTGCGGTTTCAGGATTACACATCTTGTGGTGTCAGAACGGCAAATCTCCAAGAAACTGAGCAAAAAAGCACAAGTGATACTGTGGTGCACAGTGCTCATGTGATCCTTAAATATCTAAACAGGAGTGTGTTAAATTGATTTTACTAGTGTGTGATGCCATCTGTGAGACAGAATTTTTCCTTCTCTCAAGTCTGTTTTCTACGTTTTTAGATGATTGCTCGGAAAAAATCAGAGAAGGGGGAAGGACACAAAAAGTGGTGACTTTCAGCTAAGTCTAATTATTAAATAATTATTTATTAAATAAAAGATTGTCTTGTCTGTTAATGGAAAGAGATAATGCTGGTAATGTTAAAAGGAAAAAAGGGCAAAAAGTTGTTTTAAGCGTTTGTAGTAGTTTTGGAGCTGAAATAAAATTCTATACTAATATGTGTGTGTATATTTCTGGGTTTGATTGTTAGACAATGATTGAGTCATTATATTTGTCACATGTAAAAATTTGTTTAATGCGTAATTTCATGATTTTCAAATAGCTAATTTTGTGGGTTGCCAGTAATTTGCAATTTAAAAAATGTTTAACTTGTACTGAAGGAGCACAAATTGCTCTGTGGTACTTTTTAAAAAGGAGTGGTAGTGACAGTGAGACATGGCATGGAAATTTAAACTAGTTCAGAGTTGAATTGTTCTTCTCAAAGCAGCAGCTGTGCAGTGTATTATAGATTTTTGGTAAATCAATAAATTACTGTTTGAGTGTCTCTTTACCTAATAGAGTTTTGAGAAGAAAATGCTATGATCCAGGAGTCATTCGTAATTACTTATAATGTCTATCTATGAAGATCAGTGGAGGAATAAACAATAAGGTGTAGCAATCTCTTTTTTTATTAAAGTGGATTAAATGGTTTATAATTGATTAGAACTTGGTGTCCTGTAAAACTCTTAAATAATATTCAGAGAGAGTTCTAAACTGACATTTGACATCTCTTTCATCTTTTGAACATTAGATAACTGAACCACAGCCACACAGTAGAGTTCTGTAGAATAGGGGTTGTTCCTGGTATTGTTTTATCATTGACATAGTCAAAAGAATAAATTATAGAAAGCAAGATGTAAAATAATTTTTCTTGGATTTCAGTATTAAGTAGCCCAAGACAGGATTACTCGTCTCTCCTAACTGCAAATGTATTACTGCTTAGCAATTAACAGTTAGTTTTAGAAAATGGATTTGGTTCTGCTACCAGGAAAAATAAAGCTGCCTGTCAAAATACCTATTATCATAAAAATTACCTTCAATTTCATATTTCTGCAAGTATATTAAACTCTTACATTGTTTTTATTCTGAAAATATGCTTTTAGAGGGAACTGGGACAGCAAGCTTGTCGTCTGTCATGTGGAGTGCATCACATCAGGCAGAGTGAGTTCCTGAACTCCCACCCTCACGGTGAAGGAATTCTTTGGGCTGCTCAGTGAGTTGTCTGCCTCTCTGGTGCAGCAGAGCCGTAATGTTCCCACTGACTTTAGTGTGTTGTCTTTGTTACTGAAAGATAGATACATTTAGTGATTTCTAAGGTGCATTCACACACCTCTGCAAAAGCATTATATTATTTTGCACATGCAGATGGTATGAGTATGGGAAGAATTTTTTCAGGTGAAAAATGAGAGGCCTCTTATTATGAAGAAAAGCTGAGTAATAACCAGTGCAGGTGAGATATTAGGTGTACCTTTAACTATACACAGGAAAAATGATTGAAAGATGTCTTCAATTTTAATTTCAGTTTTGAATAAGTATGTGAGTTTATTCTGGGTGTTACTGAATAAAAGTGATGCAATGTGGTCTTTTCTCTTTTTGTGATTAATCCAAGCTAGTGGGATTCTCTGAGTAAGACTTTGTAGTTACTCATTTTGGCAAAAGTTCACTTTTTTTTTTTTTTTTGCCTGCATGGGCATTAATAATTGGGTAGTCTGCTAGTGTTTGGCTCTGTTTACATAGGCTAAATCACTGAAGTATGCTTTCTGAAACTTTTTCCTCAACACCACTTCTGGTTGTAGTGTGAATGCAGTCTAAACACATGTGTGTAGCTAAGCATTTTGCATTTTGAGAGTGACTGGCTAGGATTTGGCTTTTTTACAAGTCTTTTTGCGGGTTCTTTCTCCTCGCAATGGCCTTGGGCACCATGGTGATGGCAGTCAAGTGGCAAAGAAGCTGTTGTCCTGTTACCAAGTTTTAATAAGACTTCTTCTGAAATCCCGTTTTTCATGCTTCCCTCCAACCCATCCATCTGCTTTTTTGTTTTATGTTTCTTGGCATTGAGTGAACTATATTCATGAATCTATTTTGAAAAACATTGGTCATTAGTAATTAACAATACTGTTCATTGCTTAATGTTCATTGTTAACAGAACACACCTATTGCCTTGGAAACACTATTAATTAGAGTTGAATGAAATACATAGAACTAGATATTAAGTATCTTTTAAAAAATTTTAATTAATTTTGGCTTGGACAGCTGTATTCTTTTTTCATACTTTAAAGTATGAAAGGAATAAAAAAAGGGATTTCTTAAAAATTAAGATGCATGTTTTGAAAAAGAATACAAACAATGTGTATTGTGAATAAAGATTTTATAGATGTATATATGTACACACAGGCATGCACATCACTTCAGAAGAGATGTTAGTATTCACTTATAACACCATGCTCATGGAAACTGTGTCATTTGCTCTAAAGGAAATAAAATTTAGTACCTTTTTCATATGAAAATGTTTCAGTTGCTAGAGGAAGGTGCAGTTGATGTGTGCAGAGCAGCCATTGGCGAGCGCTGCCCAAGCCCTGCCTCTGTGGCTGCTGGGCAGCGTTGCCCACACACGGGGCTGCTGGGCTTCCACCCCGCCAGCAAGAAACAGTTTTTGCTTGCTAGCTAGAGCATTAAGATAGGAAGTTTAAGAAATATACTTTTTTTCTTTTTTTTTTTTTTTTTCCCCTTGGGAATACTGTATATACTTAACTGAATTAATAATTTAAAAATACTGTCTCCCTGCAGATGTCATCCCAGAAAGTGAGATTCAAGCTTACGGAAAGGAGTTAGAGACTTGCAAAATAATAATTTAAAAAACCCACGCCAAAAACTCCTATTTGCACAAATACAAGCTGATCTAGAGATTCATGAGTAGACCTGATGATGAATTGCCTGTGATTTTGGGGAGGCTAACTCCAATGCTTTTGATTGCACTGGAAATCTGAAGTTAATGCTCATGAGAAGTAAAACCAGAGAACGTGGGTTACTTGGTGTGCCTAAACATCACAGAGGCAGCAGTGAAAAGATAACACTTCTCTTTGAAGCAGTAGCTTCAGCTGTATCTTATTGTGTGCACTGGGAACTGAGAGAAATAGCAGCCAACGTGGGAGAAAATGCCAGCTAAAGGTAAATACTTCTTCAACGAAAATGATGACTGCAGGATATCAGACCCGCTCTATGAGAAGTACCGTTATACAAGCCAGCAGCATCCACTCCTGCTACTGCTGCTCTTCATTGCAATCATCTTCTGGACTACTCTAATTATAACCTTTTTTGTCACTCATGTGAGTATACTTTTTTCTTTGTGTTCAGTCTTTTCAGAGGTGATGAGGAATCACTATAACAGTACACGAAACATTTCTGGCTAAATAATAAATAAAATTTGTAGTATCAAAGTTGCAATGTTGAATCAAGTAATTGTGTATATAATGCTGTGTATGTTTTTGAAGGGACAGGGAAGAGAGGAGACAGTGTTGTCAGGCACATGCACAGTTACCGTAAGGATTGTTCTTTCCTATATGTTATGAACAAATCATAATCAATGCAAAATAGTAACTGTGATGATAAATAAGTAGTAAAGGGGGCAAGGAAGGAACAAGAACATAAGTTAAAATATCCTGCATTTTTCATGTTTTCTTTTTAGAGTCATCTAAGAAATATAATATAGTGATTCATGAATTCCTGAGGGTTTTTTTTAAAGCTTTGGACACATTCTTTTTTTTTTTTTTTGGTAATGAAAACAACAGGAATCTCCCAGTACAATGGGCAATCCATTGAATCAATATTTAGTTAGCAAAGAGGAGGGATCCTATAGGCACAGGAAAGGTGCAACTTAGTATTGTGTAGTATACTGTTATTTTCTGTAAAGAAATTGAGTATTCTTCAAACCAGCCAGTTGACAGCTGGTAAAAAGGGGAGTTGATTTAAAGATAATGTTGTAAAAAGGTAGTAATGAAGCTGTTAAATTTCTTCATTGCCTTCTAGCTGCTTTCCAAATACTGTGCTTCATGGTAAAGTGTCTTTAAGTCTCTCTTTAGCAACAAATCTAATCTTACCAATTACACTTTTATCCCTTTTAGCTTTTATTTCTTAAAAAAAGGAAAGAAGTAGCACCACTATTTGTATTATGTCATCTGTAAAATTTAGGAAAAGAGCTGTTAAACTCCCTTTTAGCAAAGCTTGAACTCCTTAAATGCATTTTTTAGGTACACCTGCATTGTACAGTATAGTGTAGTTAGAATTTCGCTTAAAAGACAAGACCAAAACTGCTAATTTGGGAAATTATAATAGTGGAACCGGGGTAGACTGGGTATCTATAATAATATTTATTATCTCTGTATGTGTGAATATCAGAAAGTGTTAATGGTGCCACAGCTAGACTATTTAGGAACTCAGGTTAGCATATGTTAAAGCTATCTAAGCTGTTTCTAGGACAGTATAGATGTGTTTTCCATTTTTCCTAAAGGGGACATTTAGACCAAATATAACACTTTGTTTTGCTTTTGCAGGAAGCACATTATCATCTTGCCTTCATTATTGTAGTATGTGCTGCTCTTCTCATATTTGCAGTCATGTACTTACTTTTATGTATTGAATCCCTGTTTCGGAGATGGCTAACGTTATTTGGAATCACAATATGGATTTGCTTCTTAACCGTAGGATATGTATCTCTTTTTGGAAAAGAAAATTACTATCAACTGTGGGAACAGGTATGTGTATCTTGTTCATTCAGGTGCTTACATAGAACTGCTAGTTGGTATATATGAATGTGTTTGTGTGCTTTATTTTTTTCTGAATGTTATAACTTAGGTTCACTTTCCTAAATAGGTTTTATTGATTTTTTTTTTTTAATAGTAAATTTTAGTTTGTATTCTTTATTATAGTGAAAATACAGTTAATCTGAGTACTGGATAACTGCATAAATCTATGCAGGAATTGCATCTTTAAGATGTAATTGAATTGTATTTTTATTTAAGATTTTCATTAAATCTTAATTACTATGAATTCATCTTTGAGAGAGTTTTTCATTACTAATACTTGCTGTGTTAATTTATATGGGTCAAAGTTGTGTTCAAGTAATCTATAAAGGACTCCAGTGCTGGGTGTGCCCTAGGGAGCATGTTTTCACATCAGTGGGAGAGGTAAAGTGAACAATAAGAATTAATGACACATCCTGGCATAGCTGGGTGTGGCTGAAGTTCATTGCTTAGTATCTCTGATCAGAAGACAGGCGATTTCATGATGCCAAAAATATCATAATCTGTAGGAAACTCCTCCTAAATTCTCATAATGTAAACAGAAGAGTTTTTAATGAAATAAAAATTACTTTTTATCTTGCTTTACTGACTCTTCCCCTTCCCCTCTTTATTTCAAATAAAGAAAAATATAAATTATCAGTTGACCCAAATCTGATTTATATTATGGCCCGGATCCAGCACCATGTATTTACAGTTGCTGTTCAGTATTTTTTAATTTAAGAAGCTATTATCTTAGGAAAAAACAAAATTTACAGTTCCTAAGTACAAATATGTAATGAAGCAAGATTTGGTTTTGCTGCTTTCAGTGCTGCAAGCCAATGTGTTGTGTTGTTGTCATGTGGTAATAATTCATTGATATAAGGAGACCCTAGATTAGAAACTAGAAGTGAATAGGTTCATTTCAGACTTTTATCTCAAGTTCTGAATTTATCACTAATTAAAGCTGCTATTTAAATGCAGGTATGACTTTTGCTTGTCCATGCTTATAAATTGCAGTATTCGGAACATTGTGTGATAGGGGTTGTGTGTATGCCAGAAAATTTTTTTTTTAGTCCAGATAAAATAGTAGAGATAAACATGAAAAGATTACTTTTGTTGAATGAAAACTTACATTTGCTTGCTTGGTTGTTTGTTACTGTCCCAACCAAGCTATCTATTCTGGCAAAACATTTAAGTGTAGACTGGGCCTTGAGACTTCCTTGAAGGAAGGTCATGTCTGGAATGGCACAGGTTGAGCTGCAACGATGAGATGGAGTTGAGCCAGGAACACTGCAATATTTTCCTCTGATCAGGGGTGTTAGTTTCCATAGATATGAGCTAAACACTATAACAAATCTATAAATATGGATTTCAGTTTTATAGACCTTCCTTCTGATCCTGAGCAGTTTAGTGAACCATTGTGCATGTTGTAAAATCTGTGCAGCTGAATATGTAGTTAGTGGCAATAATGATTATCCTCTTGTGTCAGCATCAGGAAGTATTGGTTGGATTTTTGGCTTTTATCAAATATGGAGTAAATCATGCATGTAATCGGGTGATGTTAAAATTAGAATAATAACTTGGAGAAGGTGGGAAATCTGATTCTATTCAATATTGCTATCCTTGCAACACGCTTCCCGACACAGGATGTACAAAGTGCATCTTCAGCTGTAACGGATAAATTAAAGATAAAGGGTAAGGACAACTGAAAAACTTCAAGGTGATGTGCCATGTTAAACTGTCATGTATGAATCTATAGCTGCTGATTCCCTCAAAGCTTTCAGGATTACCACTGTCTTTATGGTTTCAGCTGTTCTTTGGAAATGTCAGTATTAATTGTTCAGCCTGAAAATGAACAAGAATCCAGTTACTTTCTTCCTTGTTCTGTAGTGATTTTTGGCAGGCAGCTAATAACGTATATGTGTGATTTTTTTTTTTTTTTTTTTTTTTTTTTTTTTTTTTCCATTCTTTCTATTCATAATCTTCACAGTTTATACCATGCTACCCTTTGGGATGAGAGGTGCTGTCATAATTAGCATTCTTTCTGCTCTCTCCCATATTATTGTTCTAAGCATTGTGGTAAGCATGACTTCTCAGGAAAATAAGGAATCCATTCTGTTTCAGGTAAGGAAATACTAATTGGTTAAGTGATTAAATACGCTAGTTGTATTATCATTTGATATTGGCATCACTATTCTGTTTAGATAAATTCCAGACTTCCACATGGATGTTTCAAATTCATGGATTTGGAGCCTTGGCCCAATGTGTTTTGCATGCTTTTCAAAAAAATTGCAGTTATTGTAGTCTAGAATGCATTTTGGTTTTCTGATCAAAGTGGAAGAAGCAGAATTATTATTTTAATTTTCAAACTAAGTTACTCAAAAAATGACAAACTTTGTCACAATCATTTTTCCCAGTCTGTGCTGTTTCAGATGGGTCTGTCTAACTTCATCTGGCACTACCTACAGGGTGGATCAAAAGGGCCATTCCTGCCCTGGGGAGTCAGCAGGGCCTGGGAGTGCTGCTGGGTGCTTTCAGGGTTCCCAACACCTATTAATAGGGTGTGTTCAAAGGAGCACCCCAGCTCTTTTGATGCAGGTGTGTGTTAGACTTCACCCAGCATGCTGATGCATGAGTTTGCAGACTGGTTTATCCCAAAATCAAACACTGGTGGCTGCAAATGAATGTTAAATGATATAGCAGAATTTTCTGTTTCATTATACTACTGTATGTTTGTACAGGAATGCCTGTGAATGTGAAAGTTAGCTTTTATTTCCCAGGTGTGTCCTGGCGAGTTGCAACACTGATTTGGTGTGCGACAGAGTAAGGGAGAAGTTGAACATGGCCTGGGATTAGTATATGTATTAGTGAAGTATCAATGACTGTTCTGTAGTAGGTAAATATTTTTCTTCTTGTGCAGCTACTTGCCAATGCTGTCATTTTTCTTTGTGGTAACTTGATGGGTGCATTTCACAAACGCCAAATGCAGGTTGCTTCGTGGGATTTGTATAGATACACGTTAAAGTGCATTCAGGTCCGAATGAAATTGAAGATTGAAAAGAGGCAACAAGTGAGTGAACTAATTCATATTATGAATTGCTTGGTTTTGTTTCTAAAGTCTGTATAATATTATGAGGCTGGTGATTAATGCATGTTGAAAAACTTGGTCCAATCTTTGTGGTACCCACCTAGTGTCAAAAATAAAAGTTGTGCCATTTGTAACAAAAGAAGGAAGTTAAAGGGAGGAAGCTGTTCTCTGTGGCTTGTCTATACGAAAATCACAGTATTTGTAACAGGAATGTAATTGCCAGTTATTTTAGTTACTTTTTTCCTAGTATAAAATGTTACTGGGACTTGTCCAAGGTAACTTAAAAGAACATGCCCCTAATGGCCTGAATAATACTTGTAATTTCAGCAGTTAGTTTCATGCTTCCCTTGGTCGCATTGTTTTTTGTTTTGAATTCTGAAGTATTATTTCTTCCTGTATTTTATTGTCTTGCAACCATTTTTTCTGCTAGAAGAAGAAAATTGGAGCCTAAGGGAGAAAAAAAAAATCATATAGTAGATTACAGTGTTTGGGTATGTCAGTGTTTATTTCCATACACTTCGGAGAATAAGCAAGGAACATGAATTCCTTACTGAGGAAGGATTGTAAAGAAGTATCAAAGCTGAAAGTAGGGTGCCTTTCCTTTTATCCTGGTATAAGTAGGGTTAAGAACAGCAGCTCTAGAAGGCTGATGTGTAGGAGTTCTCTGCCCACCAGTTATTAGATAAAAGGAAGGGGCTGAAAACTGAGTTGGCCAAATTGAAAAGAAGAAAATGCCACACTGCTGGTGCGATCTGTCCTCTGATGCTAATCTTGTGAGATGAGATGACAAATCTGCATGAAACTCCTGGCAGAATTTCCCCACGCAGCAGCCAGGGAAGCATCACAGGCAGTGTGCTCTCATTCTTCAGGCTATGTGGTAACTTGCATGGGTTTTTTTTGTTTGGTGGATTTTTTAATGGTTGCTCCTTTGAAGTGTAGATGTGCTTAAGTCTATGGACAACTTTCTTTTCATCTGTGTTGTAATTTGTCACACAATTTTAGGTTTCCTTTTTGCCACCCACTTTTTCTCTGTGAAAATGATGTGAGAAACGCAGTTCAGGGTTCATCATCACTTCCCTGAAAACTGTGTAATGTGTCAGCCTCAAATGTCCCCCTTACATTCACTGGGTCTCTGCTGTCAGTTTAAATTGTTCCCCATGATTGACTCTCTTAGTATTAAAATGGTAGAGGAAGGGAAGGAGGTGTTTCTTTTTCAGGGGCAGTCTCAAAGTAAACTGCTGTTTTACTAGGTATAAGTAGGCCAGTACTCGATGCTCAAACAATCAATCCCTTCCACTATAATTCCAAGCAAGACATTTCTTTTGGGTGGCAGGCACTGGTTAAGTAACCCTGGCAGCTCACTGCCATGTGTATACTGCTGCATTGAGTATTCAGGGAAAGGGGACAAAGATTTGGTCTGAAGGGACAGTATTTTACTCAGTTACACAATGTGTTGACCTTGCTGGTGATGTCATCTGAAAAAGTTCCTGCCTGTAGTTTCCCCTTCTGTGGTGACTCTGTCTCTGGGGTGCTAGAGCCCTTCCTGGGTTAAAAGTATTCTCTTTTTGTCTTCCTCTTCTGCCCATCAATTTAGCAGGGTCTTCTTTGAAGAACAAGCATTTTTAAGTCAAAGCCAGTGTAAAACAGTGCACTGAATAGTCAAACAATGTAAGTGGGTTTTGAAGAGTTTGTATTCTCAGTTAGTTCAAAAGATTCTTTCAGTGGCATCAGTTCCTGGTTCATTTAAGCTATAGCAGCATGTTGTTGACACTTTTGTGTCTGTTGCTGCCTCACCAGTGTTTGAGAATTCACAAAGGTTTTTAATACCGCATAGATTGTTCATTACAGAATATAAGCTTTTACTAGAAGCTTTTTCAAATGATGCTAACGTAACACTGAGATTGGTGGAGAAAGTAAGTTTTCATTTATACAAAAACTGTAGTATTGAATACTGAATTTTTGTGTGTTTCACAGTTACAGAGAGAGATCACATCTAAGTCACGAACAAAAGAGAAAAAATATGCAGCACCCTTACTTAACTGCAAAATTGGTGATTTTGAGAACAGAAATGTAAAAGTCTTTTCTGGAAAACCTGAAATGTATTATTCAAAAGCTATTTGAATAAAGGCGCTTTTTTATTATTATTATTCCTTCTTGCAGTCACTAAAATCCTGCAGTTTCAAATTTACTGTTAAGAATTTTGCAGCATTCATTTTTTCCCCCTCTCCTTTTAGGAAAATTTGCTTTTATCTATACTGCCAGCTCATATCTCTATGGAAATGAAGTTAGCAATCATAGAGCGACTAAAGGAAACTAATGATAATAGGCAAATGCATGATAACAACTTCCATAGTCTGTATGTAAAAAGGCACCAAAATGTTAGGTAAGTGGAAACTCTAGAAGTAATTGTATTAATATAAGCTGCTGATTTTTAACAGTGTATGTGGTCCAGTGAAATTAAAATTTGCAGGTAGACTTTGAGGCTGAAGTGAGCTGCTTTCCCGTTGTGGGAGCATAATGTCTTGAACTGATATGTGCTGTCTTCTAAATCAGTTGAGGTACCTGAACCCTTTTTTCTGGAGTTGTTTTCCAAAGAGAGAGATGCTTTGTATTAAATGCATTTTAATATTTAAGCTGACTGTGGAATAGACATATCTTCATTTTTCAATTATATTGATTTTTCCTTTTGTTCTTGTTTAGCATTCTTTACGCAGACATTGTAGGATTTACTCGCCTTGCCAGTGACTGTTCTCCTAAGGAACTAGTAGTGATGCTGAATGAACTTTTTGGAAAGTTTGATCAGATTGCAAAGGTAGGTGTTGCAGTTTGTTGTGCAGCAGGGATAAAGGCCACCACTGGAAAAAGAAGTCTTTTCCACAATACGGAAGAAAGTTGGTGTTAGTGCTTCTGAAGTCAGGAAGGGAAGATTGCTTTGGCTTTAAAGCTAAGCAGCAAAATTACATTCAAACAAAATTTAAAACAAAAATGGGAAATTTAACAAGTTGTTACTGTAATTCCAATTCTTGGGTCTGGAGGTTTAGCTGTATTGTTAAGGGAATTGTCTGGTAGCAATAGATTGTAATACCGCTGTATACAAGCTCTATTGAGGGGCTTTGCTGTGTTCGGTTAGAAGGATTGTTTGTTGGCTCTGCAAATGCAGAACTCTCAGGCACACACTTAAATTCATAAATTCAGTTTACTGCATCAGACCAAGGAGTTCTTTAGCTCAGGAGTAATAATTAGTAATGGATACTTACAGAAAAGTGTAAGAATGGGAAGCAGATCAAACCGGTCCCTGTTAAGATGCACCCTCGCTACTGACCCTTCAGGCTGGTAGTAGTTCTTACCACTTCCAATTGCTCCTTGAGGTTAATTTCTTTGCAACTCAGGGTTTGAATTCTCAGATTACAGGGACTGCATCATATACATGTTTGCATGAATGATTCTGATGATTTCTCTTATCCTCTAAAACTGACCCTTAAATATATGTTCTGTCATATCCGTTAATTTTTCTGTTAGTATTATGAGGCAAATATGGCTGTAGGAAAATATTTTGTTGCATCCTATGTGGCATCAAAAAAACACATATCAACCCAAATTCTGGTTCTAGAAATTTAGCATTAGTAAAGCATAAGTCAGGACTAGTGACAACCTATTAAAACTTCCCATGGTTTAAAGGTGTTGGTTTGATTTCATTATTGATTATATTTGAATGTACTGAATGTGAATGAGAAAATGAATGGACTTAGAAATTCTTGATTTTGTGAAATTAAAAATTATTCTGAAAAAGTGGAAAAATTCTAATATTATTAATATATCAGAGGAATGAAATTGCTTTAATTAAACTTTGTGGATGTCATTTAATAAATTCTTAAATATATCACTGGTTAAAACCTAGCTAAAATCCTAGTTAACCTTTTTAACTAAATGACATCGCTAATCTTTGTATTTATATGAATTCAGTTGCTGTTAAAGCTTTAAGTACTGGCAAATAAGAGAGTCTTAGTAATTCTGTTGCTGCACAGCAGCTATTAAGAACACACAGAGTAAGTCATGTCATCTTAGTTGCCACGAACTTTTTACATTGAAGTAGAAGCTAAGGTTAAAGACATTTGGTCACTTCTTGCAACTGTTCCTCAGATAGAAAAATGGAAAAGATTCCAGATTTTGAGGGCTATGTTTTAATTACTCCTTCTGCAAATTGCACTGTTTAAAAAAATGTCTGGATTTAGTGAGTCAAGGTCTTTTGCAACTCGGGTTGAGCTGCTAGAAGAGATTCCTGCTTTCTGTGCTATTTTTATTCTGCTGGGGCATATTCTCAGTCATCCTTTCCATAATGTAAAAATGTTGTAGGCTCCAATTTACTTAACGAAAGCCGACAGCTAACCTGGACACTGAGCTGGATACTGAAGTCTAACATCTCTAATCAAGGGCTACGTTCCCCTGCTGATCTCTGAAGCACAGGGCTGTCTAAGCTTGCTGCAACGCTTAGAACCTACTGGGTGACTTAAGATGATGGAGAATGATGGATATTCTCTTACAGCTTTGACTGATGAGGGTGAACAGCTTTGTTTCATAAATTGCCACTGATTTGGGCTGATTTTGGAGTTAATTGAAGAATTGCTGGGCTGTTCCTACAGCAGGGAGGGTTGGGTAGCTGAAGGTGTCAGCTGGCCCAAATGAAGCCATCTCTACTCATCAGTCAAATACTATGCACCCTTGCAGAATTAGCCCTGGCTTGCTTGCAACCTTAGAATTCTTCGATAATATTTTAACAAAAGACAGTGTGAGAAGCTCTTTGCTCTTCCTCTTTGCTCTCTCCAGACAGTCATGGGCAGCAGTATCCTCTGTTGTACAGTTGGGAAGTAGTTTTCTGCTGACACAGTATTGCTGGTGGTTTTTTTTTTTTGTTAGTGATAGCAAACTGCAGTGTGTTCCAGCTTCCTTTTCAGTCATATTTAATAAAAAAAAAACCCCACCAGCATTTTGTTTCTACAAAGCTACCAGGTTGGGCATCTTAATTACTAACTTCTCCTTAAATTCTGTGGAGGTTTTATGACACTGCACAGTTTTAGGAGGACGCCATGCAAAAATTGAGGAAAAGGTGAACAAACTGCCTCTGAGTCAGGTGTTAATAAAGACAAAGATTAAAAGATAGATAATTAGATTTCATCATTTTGATGGTAAATTCTGTGACAGTTTTGGTTTTATTTATGGTTTGTTAACTGCCCACAGTTCCAAGAATAATGTCAGAAACTGTAAGACAATTTTATTTCAGAAATGCTTGAAGTGGTCATGTCTGTTATCCTCCAGTGAGCAACTCCAGACATTTGGATGTGGGAAAAAGAGAAGTAAGCTTTATTCAATAAGGATTGAATGAAGCCTGACTTTCTCAAAACGATATAGACAGGTCTTAGTGTTAGTGTCATTAGCCTGCTTGCAGTTCATTTCTTCCTGTTAAATGTGTTTACTGTAATTTCACAGGAGAATGAATGCATGAGAATAAAAATCCTTGGAGACTGTTACTACTGTGTCTCAGGCCTACCTGTGTCCTTACCGGTTCATGCCAGGAACTGTGTTAAAATGGGACTCGACATGTGTGAGGCAATAAAGTAAGTATAGCACAGAAGACTTTTTAATGTATCAAGGCTATGAAGATACTCGGTAAAGTAATTCTTAGTGTTCTTGTCAACATTCAATGTGGGTTTATTAGCTGTAGTTGGATAGTTACACATTAGGTCATGAGTTTGTTTCTTGTCTTGGCACTAAGCATATAATTAGACTAAACCTTAACAGATCTCCAGGAGGAGGAGAGAAAATCTAAAGTGTAACTTACACTGTAATACCCTCTTCCCTCCATAGGCAGGTGAGAGAAGCCACAGGAGTGGATATCAACATGAGGGTTGGTATTCATTCTGGGAATGTGCTGTGCGGTGTGATCGGCCTCCGGAAGTGGCAGTATGACGTCTGGTCGCACGACGTGTCCTTGGCAAACCGCATGGAGTCCGCGGGCGTACCTGGGTGAGGATCTTCCCTGTCCCTGCTGACTCACTGTCTCATCACGGTTTTCATAATCCTGGTTTATGAGTCTGGAATTTGTAACTGCTGTGACATAAACCCTCATAATGGGATTATGAAAACAGGACAAATGTGTGCTTACCAGAATTGTAAAATGTTAATATTTTCTGATTCTGTTTGCAATGAACTAGAAAATTTTGTTCATAGGCTAGTGACTGCTTCTTGACCTTCCCTGCACTGGAGACACTTGTGCGTCTTCAGCAGTGCATTGTGTTGACTTAGTTAATTGACATTGTACATGGGGATAATACTCTATTTGTAAGTTTAGCTAAAGAATAGATATGCTGCTTATGTTGACAAGGCAGAGCTGCATGTTTACCTCGTGTTTCTCTAAATATATTGATCAGTCCCACTTGACTTATATTAGCTCTATATTCACCACCACC